AAAATGTAGACATTTAAATCTTTAAACTGCAAAGTTATAACGTGATTGCCAATAATAGGATTACTATGATATTTTATTTCTTTAGAAAAGCAATAATAATTAGTTTCTGCAATACTCTTACCTGTTATCTTACCAACTGTCAGCTGCTGATTATTTTATCAAAGAGCATACTGGTTGTATCAGGTTCCTGGCAAACAGATTAATTTATGACATGATTAATGGCCATGTGACACTGTGTGACAACTACATCCAGTAGAGTAAACAGTCATATCATACACAGATGAGAAGCTATGACTTGGTCAACACGTTGACTTTCTCTGTTCAGATCCTGAGGAGGCAGGCTGAAAGCTAGCCGGATAAGAGGCATGTGTGGGTGAGGTGAGTGTAGGTGTAAAATGGGGAGTGGTAATGGAATAAGGGCTGGACTATATAAATAGTTATTTTCACAGGCAGATTTTCCCAAACCCAATGCAGGACACATGATCTAGTGCAGCATCACAATACATGTCTTGGCCAAACAAAGAATGGTGTGACACAACTATCACAAGCTACTATTTGCAGCTATGACCAGTATTTATACCGCCCTTGAGAAAACTGATATTCTATGACATGCAGAGACAGAGAAAGGACATGTCCATATCCCTAGCTCCTCTTTGAGCATTACAGAATTTAGAGAGGGGATTGCATTAAAGACAACAGGCACAAATGGGTCCCTTGTAGGGAGGAGATAAAATAATCAGTCCAGATTAGAAACATTTTACTTAGGTCTCATTTATTTTTCTTATTATTTTGTGATAATTACACTACAGTTCACATAATAATGTTGTCAAAAAATAACTGCAAACTAGTTTTGTGTGATTACAAACCAGTGTAATTTTCCATTTAATTTGTATTTTTTTCTTTTCTTTTTTTTTTTTTGGCATTTTCAAGCAATGGTACATACATTGAACATCGTGAATTCTACAATAATCCATGCGTACTCAAACAATTAAGTAACACTGTTACAACATTGCCTTATTTTTTTTGGAAAGGAAACATAAAGGATTACAGAAAGAGGATAATACAGAGTAAACATCAATGGTGTTTAACAAAAGAATGAATGAGAGTATCACTGAAGTGCACTGGGTATCGTATAATAGTAGATGTGGTGAAATTTTGTCATCAAACTAATATGGTGACCAGAGGTCATGTGACCAAGCTCATGTATGCATTTCTTAAAGATGGATAAGCTTTACCCATTGATATGCAATTAGGTAATTCAATACATTTACAAGTCAGGAAAGAGATAACCACTTCCCCTGTCTCCATTCTTCCCTGTTCCTTCTTGGCTGTGCTATTGAGCAGACATGTGAGCAGACATGGGCTAATTCTTATCATGATGAACTGTGAGTGGGATCTGATGACTTTATAAGGTTTTATTGTTATTGTCAGCTAGTTAGATTGTGGTTGTTATTGTTTTAGTTAGTTAGATTGTGTGTCATTATTTGTATGTTGTTGTTTTGTCTCTGAATAAATATTTGTTAAAGTAGACTGTGGCAGATCGCCTGGGATCCTGACTGGGTGCCTCTGCCAATCGCTGCTTCCTAGCTGTTACCGAGTACCATAAGCACTGTACCGGACACAATAAGCACCATAGCCCCTTAGCCTCTACAGCTTAGCTGGGGTCTCGCCGTCCCTTCTCACCCTGGACCAAACTCCTGGATCCAGCTCCCAGTGAGAAGACCTCTCCTCCAAGAGAGTATAGCAAGTATAGCTGTGTAGCTCTTACAAGAGCTAATGATTATAGCAATCCAAAAAACAATTCCAAGAGCAGGGATTATAGCTGGTATAGCTTTCCCCTACAAGCTCAAGATGAGGCTCTGTGTTAAGGGTAAACTGGAACTAATTTATTGGTAGCCACAACTGGCTTATATGCAGGTCCCCAGGCAAGGAGCACTTCACCCTGGACCTGAGAGTAGACTACAGTAAAAACATATACACAATTACATTGGCTCTCAGGTCCAGGACACTCCTATACAAAATAGGTTAATCCCTCCCCTATAATTGGGAGATAATTGAGTCAGCCACTGTATTAAACTCTATTATCTCCAGGCACAGAAAACATAAATTTTTACAAAATCCCAAAAATACATTAAAACACAAAATCCCCACAAATGCTACATCCACTGATAGCCCTGATCTGGGTGACCAACATATCAAAAAATCACCCAGATCAGTTCAGAGGTTCAGGAATTTCCTGGAAGTCATAATTTGACCGACCGACCGCCCACATATTCCCATGCCCAAAACAGTTCCAGAGAATCAGGGCTTACGGTTGGTCCAGTTCGGTAGTTTAAAAACCAAACAAATTACCGAACAGAGTCAAAAATCTTACCCTGGAGCTTGATCCCCTTGTTCGTAGGAACGTTTCCACCGAACAGTGCCTTTCTAAGTGTTGTAGAAACGAATGCAGGCGATGCTGGAAGTCCAGAGGTGTTTTGGAGTTTCTGTGTCCGTTTTCAATTCCATGAGATTCATGCTCAAACACCGCTGCCTGTGTTCACGGAAACAAGATGGCCACCACCTCGTGGTCGTCCATAGTAATTATAGCCACCCAGATGAACATTTAGAGCACTGCAGTGGAAATTGCTAGCAATTAGGCTTAACAAGCTCCAGGGTGGTCTTTGGTTCGTGCCGCTGTTCAGTTTCCGAACCAAATATAAAATACCACGAATCAAGTCTGTTCACATAGTTTTTTTAAAGGGCCCATAGTCTTTTTGTAAGAGGCTGACCAGCAGGCCCCTCCAAGAACACGTGATGAGGCTCAGTTTGTCACACCTATAAAATGATATTGTTCCATAAAGAGTCAAAAGAGAGAGGCTAGCCGGCAGTAATAGGCTGGGATTTCTCAAAGTAAGGATTATGTCATCAGCAAACAGAGAGCGTTGTGCTATTTTCTGACTATGGTAATTCCACTTATGTCTGGACTGTCTCTAATTGTCTGAGCCACGGGCTCCAGGGATAAGATAAACAAGAGGTGGGACAGGGGACATCTCTGACGAGTGCCGTTTGTGACGGTTAACAGCTTCGACACTAAGCCTGCCAATAGGACCTGGTCGGTCGGCTAATTGTATAGCGCTATTATCCCATTAATGACATCCAAAGGGATCCCAAATTTTGTCAGGACCCTTCACATATTATCCAAAGGTTGAAGGCCTTCTCATCGTCAAGTGTGACAAGAAGGCCTCCAGTTTTAGTTTCATTCAAGTGGTCTATAAGGTTAATCAGTTTCCTGGTATTGTCCAAGCCTTGGCGGCCTCTCACAAACTCTGATTGTTCACTAGTTATCAGTTTAGGCAATAGAGTGGAGAGTCTGTTAGCTATTCATTTTGTGTACAGTTTGGTGTCATTGTTCAAAAGAGATATGGTTTGGAAATTTGCGCACAGTGTGGCTGGTTTTCCAGGTTTTGATAGGGTAGAAATGTGTGCTTTTAACATTTCTGCCTGTAGCTGTTATTTAATCTGTATGTTAAAGTAAAGACAATTGTTTCAACTTCCTTTACTTTAGGTATCAAATCAAAGTATTTTTTACACTTCCTCTGTCAGAAACCTGTATATCCTTGACATAAGTAAAGGTCAAATAAAGAAACAGCACAATTGTAAAATATAACATATTCTTTGTTTCTATTCATATTCATATTAGGTATGGATATTCATATTAGGTCTAAGAGCATATGTTAATTTGCTATGCTGTACCATGAGCAGACTAGAATGTTGGTGTATAATGAAAGGATTGAGGGTCAAGGGTCTTCGTATGTTTCCTTATATGGCCAGAGTTTTATTTATTATTTAAAAGTTCTGATGTCATTATAGTCATGTCTATAAAAGTACAATATACAAATGAACATGTTGCTACTGCTACCATTTGTTGTTCCTCTGACTATCTGGACAAAGATGATACTCTCCTTCGAATATTTCTTCATCTGTAACATCAGCTAAGCTGTACCATCTATTGATGTTTGCATTGGGAGTAGAAGAAATGTATATTTTTTTTTATAAAGAACTTCAGATTGTGTATTAATATTTTTGGGTGATATAGATGGATATTGTGGCGAGCTATTAATACAAGAAGATATATAAGTAAAAAACAGTATTCCACTTGCTGTAAGGGGAAACTGTGATGTGGCGACATATGTTACACCTGATAGAGCCAAATACTGATCTTTGTTATATTCAGAGGAAGCCCAAATTATTATTACAAGTGCACTTGGAGAAGCGTGAATTAGACACCAGACGCGTGTTGGTTATCAAAATAAGCCTCTGTCGTTTATTCTTCAGTTGGGTTTTTATACATTAAGAAGTAAGTGCTTACATGCAAATACTCATAGGACATTAGTAGGAAGGGAGTGAACGGGTGAAAGGAGTACAGATAAGAAATAGGGATGAACGTCATATACATATAACAAATAAGTTAAGAGAAAGAAAAGAAGGATTTGAGAAGAGACAGCTCAGGTGGGGGCTATCAGCTCCGGAACTAGACATATATGGTCTTAAGTGTTGTTTTAAGCATCAAGCATTTCCTGAGTCCAAGCCAGACAATTTTAATATATGATAGCAAAATATGACACCTATGAGCGTGAGCCTTGTAATCCAGATGATTCTATCACAATCCCCTCTTTTGATACAAGGGTCACCCAAATGTCCAAGGTATTTCAAGGCCTGCTAGCCAAAGCTTGTGGGACTTTATTTATTTCTTCACCAAGGTTCCCTTGGACTGAGAGACCACCAGAATCAGCTGGTAGGCAAGCCTCCCCTAGCCCTGAAGACAATTAATGTGACAGCCGCTGAACTTTTTCATGTAATTGTTCAAGAGACACTAATACTGAATCCCTGTTTTCCCCCACATGGTGGAAAAATACCAGGAATTGTAGAGCCCTGAGTACCACTATGAATTGTACCAAAACTCACCAAGTTATGAATTACCACTACCATGTAACCACATCTCAGAGAGGTGGGCATGCCCTGAGGCCGAGAATGGGTGTAGAAACACTAAAGCCATGTGGCATTTCTAAAATGTTGACCTGTGACAGCGGTGAACCGGAGAGACCGGAGTAAGGTGCAGAGTGAGTGCCGGGTATTCGAAGGTCGAGTTGGGTGATTGCCATCTCAGCAACAACTGGACAACCCGACAGTGAGACTGTCACTGTAGATGCCAGGCTGAGGACAAGAGCAGCAAGTGGGAAGAACTGGGGCTCCAGAGTGTCCTTTATCTAGGAAGACGGTGATGACTATCAATTTGAATTTGAATTTGAAAATCCTTTGACAAGAGGACACAGTGAGTTTTATTACATATATTTACAATTTATGGAATATACTTTAAAAGAGAAGATGAAATTCTTGTGATTATGAGACTGAAAGTATATTATTAAGGCCCTCACTCCACATATACCACATAAAGTCGAGAAAACTATAGACTGGTGTTAGTCTGTAACTAGCTATATAGACTCCTGTGCTGAAAGCTAAACAGATTGTGTAAAAATCTGAAAAAGAGAAATAGAAAGGGAAGAACCAGTTGTGCACTGAAATAAGACTTCAAGCTAATATAGCAACAAACATTGGATAAATAAAAGACCCTCATCTAATGTATTAAAGCCTAAGATTAAAGCGCAAATAAAATGTCTGCTAAAAGGACAAAATAGCCAAAATAGATGAAAAAGTTAAACAAGATAAGAGGTCTTCCCCACAAATGGATAAAAGCATATTAAATACTTCTTAACAGGAGAACCAAAATGAAATCCCCTGCTATCCCATGCTATAAAAAGACCTTGCAGTGGTTAATCTAAGAATGAATACCATAGAAGAATGAATAGAATATTTAGAGTTTATCCCAAAGATAAACTTGGGGAACAACAACATATAATTCAAGAAATGGATTCACAAATGGCAGACATGGAAGACTGTTCAAGTAATCTCAGATTCCGAAACATCCCGGAATCAGTAACAGACTATAAAGTGGAGGAAATTCTAAAAAAAATGGTCTTTACAACTATATCAAAATCTTTCCTGATCTCTCATACTGTACAAGGAAGAGAAGAAGCTAGTGATGGTTGTGATGAACTAAACTTTGCCACTGACTTTTGGAGGGGCCTGTTTGCAATGGCTTCTACTTTGGCTGGCTCAGGCCGCTGTTTCCCTGATCCTACTCTGTGACCGAGATACTGAACCTCTGCCATGCTTACATGACACTTCTCAGGCTTTAGGGTGAGCCCGGCCACCTGTATTTTCTGAAATACTGTAGCCAAATGCTTCAGATGGCCTTCCCATGTGCTACAACAGATGGCAATATCGTCTAGGTTGGCACATGCAAAGTCCTGCAATCTGTCTAGGAGCCGGTCAGCCATCCGTTGGAACATTGCTGGGGCATTCTTTATCCCAAACGGCATAACTCGAAATTGGTGAATGAAGGCCGGTTTGGGGATGGCTGCCGAGTCGAGAGGGATTTGCCAATATCCTTTCCACAAGTCTAGGGTAGTTAAAAAATTACCTCCTGTCATGCGATCGAGCAATTCGTCGATCCGAAGCATGGGGTAGGCATCGTTGACAGTCCGGTCGTTCAGTTTCTGGTAGCCAATACAAAAGCGAGTTGTGCCGTCTCGCTTCAGTACAAGCACTACCGGGGAAGCCCAGGGACTCAAAGAGGCCTCAATGACACCCAATCCTAGCATATCTTGGATTTCTTTCCACATCCCAGATCACACTGCTTCAGGAATACGGTAGGGTTGTTGCCGCAACAGAGTTTCTCCCTGAGTCTCCACTCGGTGGACTGCAGCAGAGGTGTACCCGGGTATCGTGGAGAATAATTCCCAATATTCCTGAAGCAGCTGGGTTGCCTCAGCCTACTGTATGGGGTCTAATTTTTCCCCTAACCCGACCTGCTCGATCGTACATGGGTAATTAGCCAGCAGATCTGATAGGTGAAGTCCCTCACTATCCTCGGGTGACGGGGCTCATATGGAGACCACGTCCTTGTCACGGGTGGTGGTACGGAAACCTGGGAGTCTTCAGCGTGGAAGTGGATTTATCAGGGCCTGGTGCAGGGTAACCACACGTCCCCTGGTGTTGAGCACCAGCGTTTGTGCGGCCACATACCAGCTCCCTGATACAGCTACTGCAGATCTCAGGAACTAGAAGAAATGCAGACCTCCCAGGAACTGGATAGGGAGGCTCTGCAGCAAGAATGTATCCAGTACAGAAAACAAGGCAAGACTAGGAGAGGCACCAAACATGAAAACAAGACAAAACTACTAGAACCCAGAACAAGAGAAGGATAGAAAGCTAAACCCAGAACATGTACACAATACATAAGGGAACATTAACTAAACAGGGGCAGAACAGGACTGTACATGGACTGGGAATACAAACTAAAACAAGACAAGATATGATACGCAAATAAAGAGGAGAAATAACTAAGTACTATATATGAAAATCATGGGGATTTAGTAACATTATATGATCATACATTGCATAAGCCCGCCAACAACGCCAATGTACCCCATATCTGGCAGGTCCTACTCTGCCTAATGCAAACTAAACCAACCAAAGAAAACACACATAGTCCTTATCTGCAAGAAAGGGCAGAAGACTTGAGCAGCTGCCTGCAGGAACACTGAAACAAAAAGAATGATGGAAAACAAACGAGTGTGGCAACATAAAACAAACATTTAAATGAATCCAAGTGACTGGGAATTCCAGGGACGGATTACAGGAATTAACCCAGAGAAACCCAGCATAAAGAAAACCAGAAATAGAATAGAATACCAAAAAAACAAGAAAAACTAAACAAGAATTGTTAAAAGAGTACTGGATACCAGAAGCCCAAGCCACACATCTCTGCAGAACATGGCATGATGTGACAGTCCTCTGCCCATTTAAAATAGGGTTTCAACATGTTCACGTGAAAGGCTCTTTTGATCCTTTCATCTGAACATTTTCCTATGATGTAGGTGGTGTCACTAATCCATTCTACCACCTTTAACCCCTTAAGGACACATGACATGTGTGACATATTTCTCCCTTTTATTCCAGAAGTTTGGTCCTTAAGGGGTTAAAGGCCTTTGCCAAGCTGCCTGCAGTTTATTCTTTTTGAATGGTCTAAGTGCTAGCACCTTTTGACCAATCTCCAGAATCCTATCTTGGGCCCCTCTATTGTACCACCATTTCTGTCGTTGTTGAGCCGCTTGTAGGTTTTCTTGAACTGAGTTGGTCAGGGTCTACAACCGTTCTCGGAACTCCAGAATGTATGGTTACACAGGTATTCCTCTTTCTCCTATATTGCCCTCCCAGTGCTCCCGTATGAGGTCCAGGGGTCCCTGGACTTTTCTCACATTGGTACTTTCGAGTAATGGAGTGCAAAGTATTACTCTTATGGTCGCTAACCAGCCCTCAGCCTCCACCAGTACCATAATCATGCCTGCCCACATAGTACCTTTGACGCTGAGAAAGGACATCTTGGAGTGCAAAGATGTCAACCTGGTGTCCTTGCTCATTGCGTCACAGGATGTCATTGACAACAAGTCATACTCATTTGGTGACTTGTCAGTTCTAATGAAGGCACGAGACCCTAGGCTTATTGATGTTGCTCTGGTGAGTATAATCAGTCCTAGCAGGCATTTTACTGTAAATACTGCCTTTTCAGAGAAAAAGCACTCAGACGGCCACTAGAGTTGCTTCCTTGGGCAGTGTTTGTATTAGTTTTTGGGTTGTACAGGGATGTAATTTGTTCCATTTTTCCCCAAAAAAAGTGAAGAATTCGACTTATATTTGCATAAGCTTGTCGACCTGGGGCATAAATACGACAGATGTGTTTTTTGACTATCACAAGTAATTTTCTGCAAAAGCAGCTGATGCACTTGCCTAGTTTGACATCAAAACTGATTGCAGTTCTTTTGATATGGAACTATTTTGAAGGGATTTTGCCGGTCTAAAAGTTCCCGTTTGTGCAGTTTGCTTGTCATCCACTCATGCAACAAATCTGTGCCCCAATCACGCTGAGCTCCCATCCATACCCCAGGCTGCCAGGTCCAAACAACAGGACCTAAAAGACAAGTTGGGGAGACCTATTGTCTTTTTGGGCAACAGCTTTAATGCCGGCGGCTGTGGAAACAGCACCTACAAATTGCTGCATGTTTGCTCCCTGTATTTCTGGGCACATGCAAAAACCATGTGCCCAAATAGATTGTTCCCTAGGCAATGACTGTCACCAGTTAATGTCATCACTTTGCAGCACAGTTTGTCACAACATCCTTCACCTCACCTAATTAAATTTCTCACTGATGGGTTCACTCACGGGTTCCACACTGGGTTAGTCACAATCCCCTCAGGGACACTCGAATGTGCTAATCTCCAATCTGCCTTGCGTAACCTACAAGCCATGTCGTTACTAATAATCTCCAAAGAACTCAAGCTAGGCTTCATGATTGGCCCTTTCACGCTGCCACCCTTCTCTAGCTGGAGAACCAGCCCACTGGGCATCGCTACTTCAAAGTTTTCAAATAAACTACATTTAATAATCGACTTTTCGGCATTACTCCGACACACCTAGTCTAAACTCACTAATCCCTTCTGAGGATTTTTCTCTTCAATACGCTAAAGTGGACGATGCTATCGCTACCATCATCAATGTTGGCAGGGGAGCATGGTTATGTAAAACAGACATAGCTAATGCATTCACGCTCTTACCTATCCATCCCTCCTTATGGCATCTGCATGAGGTTAAGTGGGAAGACCAGTACTATTTAGCTACGAAGCTCACTTTCAAGGCCAAAAGTTTGATATCTTCACGGATACATTGTGCTGGCTCCTGCTTAACTACTGCAGATGCCCCAAAGTAATTCATTAACTAGATGATTTCTTGATCATCGAGGAACCTAATTCACCTCCAGTTAGTCTAGCACGGATGGTAAATCTATTTCACAATCTGGATGTACCATTCTCTGAAGCCAAGACTGAAGGGCCTGGTACAAAAATCACCTTCCTGGGGATTGTACTTGATTCTCAATCCCTGGAAGCTAGTTTACCTGAAGAGAAAATCAGCAGAATTCTGGAATGTTTATCTGCTTGTTTAAATAGACGTACTCGCAAACAGTTGCAATCTCTCTTAGGGACCTTGAATTTTGCCATGAGAATAGATCCTTTTTCTCGCGTCTATTATGCATGCTGCACGGTTTACCTGACAATGATATAGACTTCCTAGCAAAATATTGACATAGAC